AGTCTAGTCTATAATCTAGTCTACAGTCTAGTCTATAGTCTAGTCTATAGTCTAGTTTATAGTCTAGTCTATAGTCTAGTCCTATAGTCTAGTCTATAGTCTAGTCTATAGTCTAGTCTATAGTCTAGTAGTCTAGTCTATAGTCTAGTCTATAGTCTAGTCTATAGTCTAGTCTATAGTCTAGTCTATAGTCTAGTCTATAGTCTAGTCTATAGTCTAGTCTATAGTCTAGTCTATAGTCTAGTCTATAGTCTAGTCTATAGTCTAGTCTATAGTCTAGTCTATAGTCTAGTCTATAGTCTAGTCTATAGTCTAGTCTATAGTCTAGTCTATAGTCTAGTCTATAGTCTAGTCTATAGTCTAGTCTATAGTCTAGTCTATAGTCTAGTCTATAGTCTAGTCTATAGTCTAGTCTAGTCTATAGTCTAGTCTATAGTCTAGTCTAGTCTAGTCTAGTCTATAGTCTAGTCTATAGTGTAGTCTAGTCTATAGTCTAGTCTATAGTCTAGTCTATAGTCTAGTCTATAGTCTAGTCTATAGTCTAGTCTATAGTCTAGTCTATAGTCTAGTCTATAGTCTAGTCTATAGTCTAGTCTATAGTCTAGTCTATAGTCTAGTCTATAGTCTAGTCTATAGTCTAGTCTATAGTCTAGTCTATAGTCTAGTCTATAGTCTAGTCTATAGAAAGACTAGATTAGACTATAGAGTAGACTATAGACTAGACTATAGACAAGACTATAGACTAGACTATAGACTAGACTGTAAACTAGACTATAGACTAGACTATAGACAAGACTATAGACTAGACTATAGACTAGAATGTAAACTAGTCTATAGTCTAGTCTATAGTCTATTCTATAGCCTAGTCTATAGTCTAGTCTATAGTCTAGTCTAGTCTATGGTCTAGTCTATAGTCTAGTTTACAGTCTAGTCTATATTCTAGTCTATAGTCTAGTCTATAGTCTAGTCTATAGTCTATTCTATAGCCTAGTCTATAGTCTAGTCTATAGTCTAGTTTACAGTCTAGTCTATATTCTAGTCTATAGTCTAGTCTATAGTCTAGTTTACAGTCTAGTCTATATTCTAGTCTATAGTCCTGTCTATAGTCTAGTCTATAGTCTACTCTATAGTCTACTCTATAGTCTAATCTATAGTCTAGTCTATAGAAAGACTAGACTATAGTCTATAGATAGACTAGACTATAGACTAGACTATAGACTAGACTATAGACTAGACTAAAGACTAGGCTATAGACTAGACTATAGACTAGACTATAAACTAGACTATAGACTAGACTATAGACTAGACTATAGACTAGACTATAGACTAGACTAGACTAGACTATAGACTAGACTATAGACTAGACTATAGACTAGACTATAGACTAGACTATAGGCTAGACTATAGACTAGACTATAGACTAGACTATAGACTAGACTACAGACTAGACTATAGACTAGACTATAGACTAGACTATAGACTAGACTATAGACTAGACTATAGACTAGACTATAGACTAGACTATTACTATAGTCTAGTCTATAGTCTAGTAAATAGTCTATAGTCTAGCCCAAGGGTGCCTAAGCCATATGCGGTTTATGCTCATTAGTTTTTTTATAAGCTTGTAGCTATAAGCTGTGTGTTTTAATACACATAGAGCACTCAGCACTAGCAATACGAAAAGCACAAACAATTTCGACTAGTCTAGTCTACATATAGACTACTAAATTAAAAGCTTTTTGCAGTCTAATTAAATAAATTATTAATTTGAAAAGTATTCCTCTTATTCTTCAGTGGTACTAATATGATTTTTTTCAAAAAAGGCATTAAAATACAAACAATTTTTTAATTAAATTAATAAATAAAACCATAAAATTGAAGTTTGAAAGCGAATTATTTTAACGGTTTTTCGAAGTTTTCAACGTATTCTTTTATGAATAGTTGAACGCTATTATGTCAAGAAATGCATTTTGACCAAAACGGTCAAAATGCATTTCTTATTCGCTTCTATGCTTCAATTTAACTATTAAAAACATTATTATATAAAAAGAGCCAAATAAATATTTAAAAATTTTATAATGTACTGTACTGTGCTGACTTGAATATTTACCTATTTTTAAAATTTTGTAAGATGTAAAATATAAATTTATGCAAAGTATTAGCAATTGTTAACGGTTTCGAAAATTTCTGGCAACATATGGATCATATTTCAGTAAAGTATTAAATATATAATGTATGTATGTGTTAAAAACAACTTGTTTCTAAGAAACTCTCCACATATGGACAAGAAATAATTTCACAGTTCTGCTTTAAAATATTATTTCCAATTTCATTAGTTTTAAAAACTCATACCCTAAAGTAGTAGTGTTGACAAATCCTTAAATCATCATATTACCTTTTCCTCACCTTAATTCATATTTTCTTGTTCTCAGATAATTAGTGAGTTAGTAATAAAATGAAATTCCTGTTAAAATCCTACTTAAAATGCTATTACATAAATTTGCGATAGTAAAGAAAAAAATTGCAAAACATTTAAAAAATCCTAAAGAATTTACGTAAAAAAGACTAACATAAACAATTCTATGAATTTGACTGATCTACTCTGATCACACAATAAAACAAATACGGCTTAATGAGTATCTTTTTACAGCGATCTTTTAAGCAAGAGTTCTAGATGATAGCAAGCAGGTAGTTTGGTGTTTTTTTATTTTTAGTTTTGGGAAATGCCTTAAGGTCTTTATACCATATTAAGTAAGTATTTATTTGGTTTTCTTTACGAATGTGTCAGTCCCAAAATTGCAGTTGATGAATTTGAAGAAAACAGGTATAGAATACCGCCTTATTTGGCTTTATACTAAAAACAATTGCATAAAATAGTCGTCTTTTTGTTATTGTTTTTACAACTGTTAGAGACGCCTAAAATTAAAAAAACAACAAAAATTTGTCTAACATATGTGCTAGTATTTCTTCTATATATTTGGGATTTCTCGAATGTCATTGCTTGGTGCTTATGGTATGTTGTGTGTTTTTTGGATAAGAACAAGTTGAGAGTTGTAGGCGTTTTTTTGAAACATTTTTTTGCCAAACATATTTTTAGATTATGTTAGACGTACTTACTTATTACTTACATATTTACAAAATTGTCAGTCTGCTGCTTTTCATACAAGTGTTGGAAGAGTAATAGTTGAAAATTTAAGGTTGTTATGTTTTCTTTGGGTATCTTTTTAAATGACCTTCAAACTTTATAAGTATAATTTTAAGGAATATGATGGTAAAAATCTATTTGTGAGGAATTGATTTCCAACATGTTTTTTAAAGTTTTCAATATGTTGTTGCTACAACATTTGGTATAAACGCTTTTCGAAATTAAATTTTCCCCTTTCATAAACCATTCGAAATCGCACACTTTGTGTTGGCAGGCAACATGTTTGAGTTGTTTATTGCTTGGCAATAAGTTAAACAATTTCTATAGTTTTATAGGGTTGTGCAGAGTTTGCAACCTACGTAAAGTACTAGAGTTTGATGTTTTTTGTATCTTTCAGATACATTTGGTTGTGTTTGCAACTTAACAAATTGTATCTGGTATCTTGTGGTTTGATTTTTATATTGTTTGAAGTTATTGTTTGCTTGTAACCAGTTTGAATGTTCGTTGTTGTCTATAGTCAAGTTTTGTTTATAGTGATTTTTTTAGGTTTTAGCTGTTTGTCGTGCTTGTATCTTTAAGATACTTTTTGCTTACTTGAGGTTCGATGTTGGTTATTATTTTGTGTTGCTCTGCAGATTTATGTTTACTTTTTGTTGTCGTTTGTATTTTTTGTATACAACAAAAGACTTGACTTATGTTTATGTTTTATTTTGTTTGAATTTCTTTTTCTTTTGTTTTATTTAACATTTTTAGGTGCTTCTCTAATTACTTCCATCTTAAAACTTGTTCTATTTACATTTTCTAACGCTTGCGTATTACTTCCAAGTATTGTACAATTACACGTGCTTTATTTTTTGTATTTTATTATAAATAATAGCAAAAAAAAGCTTTAAAGCAACCCCAAATGCAACATGTTACAACTTGGAATTTAAAAAATTCACAATTTAAGCAAAATTACTGCAAATGTTAAGAATGGTATTCGTATTTTATGCACTTACAACTTGAACAATTAAGTGGGATATTTAAAGTTCTTGAAATGGGGATTTTAAAAATCATAATAGCATTTTTTAATCTCAATGTTTGGAATTAAAATTTTCCCGGTTTTTCTTGTAAATTAAAATTTATTGTTAATTATTAACGGATTCATCGTTCTCGTAGAAAAATTGGTCAGGCCCTACCTTTGTCTAGTTTGCTCTAAGGGGATTAAATTTTATTCTAATTCTGTTATTCTAAAATTTTAGGTTTTAAAAAATTAAAGTTGTGTGTTGTTAAAAAATTTTTCGTGTTTTGAAATAAATATTGAACAAAATTTTAAAAATCTTATTTGAAAAAGAAATTGATTCCAAAATTAAATTTTTGCACTCATTTTCCCTCTTTAAATTTAACCATATTTATTCTCATGCACTTTTAATTTTTATAATGTTTTTTTCTCGCAACACTTCAAACTCTTTAGGTTGCATGTTCGAACCTTTAACTTTTATCTTTTTGCCATTACAGTTTAATAATAAATTTAGTTTTCTGTTTCTTTTTTTTCTATACAGCTTTAAAAGATGATCTTCTATTAAAACAGCCGGCCATTATTGCTTCTTTGTCTCTTTACAACAATAATTCATGTTGTTGGCTCTATAAATTCACTTGCAACAATTTCTTGTAGCTCAAACATTTTTCTGTTCATCCGCTAAATATTATCTTTATTTTCCTTTAAATTACTGTACCTAACCTTAACAAAGACATATGGATGGATGGATGGTTGTAAACAAGTTTGAGGTTGTTTGATTTCAAAGGTTCGAAGTTGCTTATCAAAAATTTTGGTTGCATTGTCTATGAAAGAAAAACAACTTCAACATAATGTTAAAATGTTTTGTCTTTGAGTTACAAAAATTTAGTATTCAATAAGTCTTTGTGGATAAATGTCGTGTAAACGGTAGAACATAATTTTTTTTGTTATTTGTTAAACAGAAAAACGAAATTTTCTCAAAAATACTTGTAATAGAGAAAAAAAACAGAAACGAAAAATTTACGTTGAAAACAAGAACGAAAAATATTTACGTGTAATGAACCAAAAGATATGAAAAATTATTTGAAAATAAAACATATGGAAATTTATTAAAAGCCTAAAAGAAAAGTGGTATAAATAAAGAAAAACCTTATTAAAATTATAAAAAAAATTAAAAATCTGTGAAAAAAAGGTTTAAAAAAAAATTATAATTTTTATTTATAAAAATTAAATAGTTGCAAGAAAATAAAAGTTATTAAACAAATAAAAAAAACCAAAATGTTGTGCTGTAAAAATATCAATACCCATCTTATGGCATTTACCGCCATTACTTTATTTGGATTTATATCTGCCCAGGCAGTTGGATCGAAGGATCTATTTAGATGCCGCCAAAGTTGCTATCAAAAGGTAGGTTTACAAAAAAACAGAAACTACATGTGTCTTGTAACTAACAAAAATTGTAGACAAAAGACTTAGTCTGACATTTGAATAGAAGGATTATAGAATGTCTTTTGTTAAGTTAACAAGAAACGAAGAGTTAAACTGAAAGAAGATTTTTTTCAACTTTTTTGTGAAAATAACAAAATAACACAAAAAAGTAGTAAAAGTAAAACTGATGGTTTGAAGGCATAAAAATTTTAACTTTTCAAATTGTATATACCTTCAACTAAATATAGGGACAGACTTAAATATTAATATGTTTTCTTTAATTTTTTTTTACATATGCTTATTATAACATATACCAGCGAGGTAGAAGATGAAGAAAAACATCTATTTATGAAGTAGTATGAACATGTAAAAGATTATGATCTGCACGTGACTTTAGCAACATTTTGGGGTTATTACTACCATCATAAAAATCGACATAATAATGACTATACACAGCTCAAAAACCTAACAAGAAAAAGTACCATATACTAAAGCAACCAAAAAAAATTATGACAAAGTTTAACATGTTTTAAATGTTTCTTTAGCAAAAAAATAATGACAAGCAGACGTAAAGCTAGAGTAGAAAAAAAACGATGTCATTACTGAAAATGTTTCATATATATGTATTTTTTAATGTTTGTTCAACATCTCATTTTATGGTACAATTACGATTTAACATCAAGTGTTGTCAACATTTGCGTGGGTAATTAAATTTTGTACACAAAAATATCAAATGCTCATTAACATCTTTGTTACTCATGCTTTTTAGCGCAAAAAACTAACAAATGTTTGTAGCTTTGTGCAGATTGCTTATTAACTTTAAAAGTGTCATAAGTCAAAATTAGGAATATGTATTTGAAAGTGACTTGTTTAAGGCATACTTAGGACGTTTTATATAGTTTTACTGCCTTAGGCTGATGTCAGAGTGCCTGCTGCATCAAGCATCGCTTTCACTCTGACATGACACATAGGAAAATACAAGGAAAGGTTTGAAGCGCAAAGCTTTGCATTGCTTGTAGCAGGTACTCTGACATCAGCCTTAATCATAAAACAAGTTCTTATTTTATAAAAGGTTTATAAAAGAAATTTTTCGTACAAAATTTGATTTATAAACTCTTTATAAAATAACAAAATTTTTGATGAATAAGGCCTTTAGATACTTTTTAAAATGTTATTTTGTTATAAATTTGAATTGGTTTTATTTCAAATTAGAAACATATAAATCCAGTTAAATATAACTGGTTTGTTGTTTCAATCTTATGATTTGTTTAAAAGTTATCTAAAGAATAGTAAAATACGTTAAAACATTTAAAAGGATTTTTCTTCAAATTTCATTTTTTGAGTTAGTGTATTTTTGAAATAAATAAGCTGTATGTATGTAGCTAAAGTTAATGTTTGACAAAAAAAAGCCATAACATTCCCCGACGTAATATGACTAGGGCTATAAAATCCGCAAAAAATATATACATATATAAACGACTATAGTAGTTAAAAGTTGTTGAAAATCATTTCGTTTTACTATATTACTTTTTGTTGTGTTTTATAGAATTGTTGCAAATAAACAACAACAACAACAGCAAAAAGTAAAAATACATTAAACTCTAGAAAATCAATACCCTGTTTAGGGGTTGTATTACCACTTTTAACAACAAACACCACACAGAAGTATTGTGAAAAATAAAACAATGAAAATGCGAACATATTTCCACAAAAACTCATAAATTCTGAAAAATTGTGATAAAACTTTGATAAAAAAGCCTCAAAAAATAAAACTTTTTTTCCTCTACCTTTTAACAAAACAAAAGTCATAAAATTTTATAACCCCCAGCTCTATAAATTATCATTTCAAATTTTCCAAATGAAAACCTTTGATAAAACTACAATTTTTCACTGATCATAAATAATATTTTGAAACTTATCTGTTATTTGTTTAACAATATTTAATTGAGTTTAAATGTTTTATTATTAACAATTTTTTGTCTTTTTATAATTTATTTAACTTTCATCAGCTTCTGCTAATGTTATCTTTTTTTGGTTTTCTTATGGCAACCAAAAAGCAACTAAAAATGTCAATTTTTATATATTTATTTAGGTTGATTTCAAGTAAAATAAATATTTACCAGCAGAAAATAATAAATAAAATCGAACCCCAGTTTCAAATCAACTCTTTTTTTTTTTTCTTCTGTACGGGGATATATGGTCATAAAATATGGGAATATTTGTTTATTTTTACACAGTTCTCTTCATCGTCACATTTATTCATACAAATATAGAAAAATTGCCATAAAACTAACCAAATATGTCAATCATATCACAGTTTATAGTTTATAGCAGCCAACAGTCACTATCATCATCAACCAGTATGAGTTTCAGTAGTTTATAATCGTTCATTGTTTTTTTTTTAAATAAATATTGAATTGAGTTTTTAGTTTTTCTATTTAAGTTTTTTTTTTCCTTTCATACTTCAAACATATATAAAATTTTATAAAAATATAGCCATAAATGGAAAAATTTAAATTTGAAAAAAAATTAAAAAAAAGCGCGCTTAACTTTTGGTCAAGTAAATAATGACTTGGGTCAATATTTTAGCTATTTAAATAAGCATTAAAATAGTTTAGCAATATTATTTTTAATTGTTTATTCATATATTTTTTATTTTGTAATTACTAAATTTAATATTTGTTTAGTTTAGTCTAAAACTCTTTTATATATACTTTTTTTATGATTTATGCCAGCAATTTTAGTCTTTTTTGTTCAAAAAAATTTTTTTTATTATGCTTATAATTGAGTTTAATGTTTAGTTAAATAAACAAAAAATTAAATTTATTTATTAAAAAAAAAATAAATTTAATTAATTGTTATTGTTTTATGTAAACAATATAACATTTTGTTGAAAAAAAAAGTTGAAAAAAAAGTTGAAAAAAATATTGTCATTGTTTTTAGTTGCAAATACATAAGATTTAAATTTAAAAGTTTTAAATTTTTTTATCATAAATTTGTGTTTATTTTATAAAGAAACAAAATCAAATTTTAAAACCAGTAAGAAATTATAGTTGGGAGAGGCCGACCATATAATAGCCTACACCTGTTACAAAATTAAAATGTGATTTAGTTTTCATAATAAAGCATTTAAGTTGAATTGTACCTTGCCTTGAATTATACTTAAGCCATTTATTGTGAACATTTAAGTCAAATTTTGAAGGGGGCTTTGTATAGGGGCTATGGTCAAATGAGATCCTATAACTATAAAATCAAGGCTAGTATAGAACTTGGTTTTGCAGCTTTTGCGAGTATATTAAACATAATTATGAACTTGAAAGCCCTTATTCAGCGGGTTCAGTTGTATGGGGGCTAGGTGAAATAATGAACCGATGTTAACCATTTTCAATAAGCTTCGTCTCCGATACCATAGAAGATCGTGTGCCAAATTTCATTGAATTATCTTCAAAATTGCTACCTGTAGTTTGATTACAAAGTTTACAAGCCCTATTCGGGGGTTTAGTTGTATGAGGGCTGGGTGAATTAATAGACCGATGTTAACCACTTTTAATAGAAGATCGTGTGCCAAATTTAATTGAATTATCTTCAAAATTGCGATCTGTAGTTTGATTACAAGGTTTACAAGCCCTATTCGGAGGTTCAGTTGTATGGGGGCTAGATAAAATAATGGACCGATCTTAACCATTTTCAATAGGCTTCGTCCCTGTGACAATAGAAGATCATGTACCAAATTTAATTGAATTATCTTCAAAATTGCGACCTGTAGTTTGATTACAAGGTTTACATGGACGGACATAGCTAAATCGACTCAGAAAATGGTTCTAAGCCGATTGGTATACTTTAATGAGGGTATAGGACTAATATTATTGTGCGTTACAAACATCAGCACAAACCCAATATAAAATTAGTCTACTAAATATTTAATATTTCAAAAGTCGAGTATGAATTGAAATCATTCTTAATTTGACATCAAAGCTATAAGTTTGTTAGAGCTTTTAATTTTAATTCAAATATTAAAGATTTCAGATATGCTTTAATTCAAAAGTTGAACTTGACTTCAAATCGTTCTTATTTTGACATTAAAGCTTCATATTGTTTACAGTATTTGAAAAGTTCTTAATTTCTAATGAAAGCTTCGTGGTAGCTAAGTTAAAATCTTTCAGTTACATTTTTATTAAAACAATTAAGGCTCGAATAAAATCATTTTTCTTTTTAAATAAAAAACCCACACATTAATTTACTAAACAACAAACACCTTTTGCCATTTATTTCTTAACACTTTTTTTATTACCATATTCTTAGAATTTACATAATTTACTTAACATTATATTATATTAGTTACTTGTTTAGCTTTCAATTCTAATATAATTTTTCTTATAAATTAAAATTCCTAATAAGTCATTTCTTAACGATCAATAATTTAACCATAAATTTTGTTCAGTCGTTTGTTTTATTGCAAATATTTTTTAGTTTTTATTTAAAAAAATTATGATTGACATTTCCTTTCTTATTTTTTCTTAAGCAGTTTTTTTTTTTGCCAATGAACTCTAATAAAAACAACTAAAAATTCTCATACAGAAATAAAATTACGAGAAAAAAACCGTGGTGATCGTTTATACACATAAAAATTGACATTAACAACAACTATTCATATAAGTAGTATGTATGTATGAACAAACCATAACGAATCATTATTATCATGCCCCAATCCTTTTTGTCTTGTCTTACGCATTTTGCATATTTAATCATATAAAGTCAGCAAGAGTCTGAAACACAAATTAAAATTAATTTAACTGCAAATATGTTTTGTACTAGGAAATATATATACGATCGCAATATATGGGGTTTTTTTAAATTTAATGTCATATTTTTAATACAACGTCATTTCAAAGTTTAACATGTGTAAAGAGTAGAAACTTCAATAAACTGAAAATGATCCACCATGAGAGATTTTTTTTCTTTGTAGCACTGTGGGAGTC